GGGGCGGAGACAGGAGCAGGTGCCGGGCACACAGGGTCGGGCGAGGCAGGCGCACCCGGGGAAGGTGATCTCCGAGGGGTCGGCGTCGGCTCCGGGCCCGGCCACGTGGTCAGGACTGTACTGCAAAACCGAGCAGGGCAGTCAGCAGGAGGCCACACCCGCATACCCGGCACAGGCAGCGTGGGCCGAGCTACTTCTCATTCCTACACGTATACGTAGAACAAAGAAACTAGCAAAACACAGCATGTGAAAGTATGCCTGAAACCATAACTCTCCAATTTAAAAAATAAGATTGGGACCCTAGCCAGTTTGGCTCAATGGATAGAGCGTCGACCCGTGGACTGAAGGGTCCTGGGTTCGATTCTGTCAAGGGCACATACCTTGATTGCAGGTTCCCTGGCCCTGGTCGGGGTGCGTGCAGGAGGCAACCAATCGATGTGTTTCTCTCACATCGATGTTTTTCTGTCTCTCCTTCTCCCTTCCACTCTCTCTAAAAATCGAGGTACATGACCAGAATCAAACTCTTCAGTCCATGGGCTGATGCTCTATCCACTGAGCCACACAAGCTAAGGTGAGAGGTCCAAGTTGCAGGTTCCCTGGCCCTGGTCGGGGTGCGTGCAGGAGGCAACCAATCGATGTGTTTCTCTCACATCGATGTTTTTCTGTCTCTCCTTCTCCCTTCCACTCTCTCTAAAAATCGAGGTACATGACCAGAATCAAACTCTTCAGTCCATGGGCTGATGCTCTATCCACTGAGCCAAACGAGCTAAGGTGAGAGGTCCAAGTTTTTTTTTTTTTGACGATAAACTCCAAGAGAAAATTTCTTATAAACCATGGTCACCGAAGAAGCCAAAATGGAGACGGGAGCCAGAATATTGAAGGGCAAACACTCCTCCCTGGCTGTTCTCAGGTGCAATGTCTCCCTTCTCTGAACTAGGCCTGCTTAACAGCATGAAGCTGGGATCCAAGTGGCACGGACTAGGGCTCTCTCATTGTACTGAATGTGGTCCTGTCTCTTCAACACCTAGGTCTCAAGTTAAGGCTCGGTCCGGAGGTTTGGGGTGCGGCATGGCGAGGGATCAGGCTCCTACCCGTAGCACCGGGCACGGAGCGGGTGCCTCGGAATATTTGATTGTTTGATAGCAGCTTTTAATAACTTCTGATCAGAGGGCTGGCTTTTCTGAGTCCCATTCTGTATCGAAATCCCGGAAAATGAAGTAGGACGCTGCACAATTTTCGGGCTTAAAACTCAGGCCTTGGTTCTGAATTCTAAGGAAGTGCCATGAAAATCTCCATTCCTTTTTTGGTTGTTTCAAACAGCAGCTACAAGAATCTTAGTACTTGGCCTCTAGCCCCATGAGTTTGTTTTCGCTTCTTAGGAAACTGTGAGCCAGATAATTCTTTTCAAGGGCAAGTTGAGATCTTAAAAAGGATGTTTCAGCCAGAAAAATAGCTAGAGCCAACTCTTCAAGAAAATCAATCAAAAAATTTTTTCTACTTAGGTGTCAATATGCTTGTTTCCAATGGGAACATTGGAATGTTCCTTTTTGCCTCTTCACCACAGTACCCCAAAGCTTAACTAGACACAAAGTTATTTTTAACTTGAGTTTTCATGCCTTAACTCCTGTGTGTGCATATGCCGTGAAGGCAGCGCTTGGGGCTGTTTTGACCTTTTATGAGACTGCTTTTTGTGCTCCATGAATATTTGGGAGCAAACTAGTTGAAGGCAGTTCAAGGCTTGTCATTTACATATTTCAAGCAGGTTTTATCTTCTTTAAGACTATAAACTCCTGGAGGGGGTGATCTTCGTTCTGTAGCTCTAACTCTACCCAGAGTTATACTGTAGCCAGCCAGCTGGGACACGGCGGACTGAGTCTGTCTCCTGATTTTCATTCATGCCCACCGACTACAGGTGTAAGGATCAATCACAGGCTCCCTTCCCCCCTCCCCTTTTATAGCAATCAAGTGCTTTCTAGCTCCTCTTGTCAACTCAAGGGCAGGAATGGTGTGTTGTCACCATTTTATCTTCTATGGCATAGAATCTATGCCTAACTTAACACGGCCTGGCTCATTAGAGACACTCAGTTATTTGTTGAATAAAGCAAACACCTATCAGTGTTTTTGACCAGGCGTTCCACAGTGTTTGGTTTTGAGGAAGCTTTAACTGCCAAGGTAGTTTGAGGAAACGTAACCATTCCTGCAGCACGCGAGTCATCCTCACAAGTAGGACCACGTGGGGCTGCGCGCACCACGGGCCTCTGTCTAGCCCCGCCCCCTACCTGTTCGCCCCCAGAGGAGGGCGTGGTCCCGGCGCGCGACTCTGAGGCCAAGCCCCGCCCTTACCTGGAAAGGTCCTGGCCTCGCACCCGGCGGCCACACGCTCACAGGCATGTTCTCCAGGCCGCACGCGACGTCCAGGGGCTCCGTGGGGGCCTCCGGCTCTTCAGACGCTGCCATCACGCAAAGCTACTTCGCCGGGTCTCGAAGCGCCTGGGCCTAAATGAGCGCGAGCCTCGCAGAGCATGCTGGGGGTCGCGGTCCCGCAAGCCCAATGCCTCATGGGAGATGTAGTGTTTCCCCCTCTCCTGTCACAAATGGCTTGTGAGGGCAAGGTCGCCCTCTGTTTTAAGCCAAATGCATAACAAATGATACAAAACCTTTAAGGTTAGTAAGTTTTATGATTTTTAAAAGTTGGTAATTTTTTTAGCACTTTGCCTTTCTGATGTAGCTTCACTAAAGAATGCTTCCCAAAAATAATATGAAAAGAAATTTATATCAAAAGGTAGTAAAAATACAAAATTCCTACTCAGTGGAAAGGATAATGTAGTAATAAGAAATAATAGCCGTATTGCACATGATATGTGCCTGATATTGTAAAAAGATAGCAAAATACAAAGTAAATTGGACAGGAAAAATGTCTTTTTAGTAGCTGAAATTTTATGTCAAAGTGTTTGACATGTGGATCATTTTACAATAACAAAAAAAGTAGCAATTGATTAAAGTAATGTGGGAGTTGTATTTTACAAAATTATGGTCCTGAATCCTTTACACTTTCCAGAAATAGTAGTTTGTGTTCTTGTGTTTAACTGCTACTAAATATATGTTTTCAGCAGAATAAAAAACTTGCGTCTGGTCCTATGTTTTTATCATTGCATTGTGGTTTAGTGAGATCCATAATTTTCCTTGTTCATATGAACACAGAAGTGTCAAGATTTAATCTCATTCAGAATATTGTTAGTGTAAGTGCTTTAGTTGTCAAGTAAATATTCAGGATTGATGGTCATAGAATAACTTCTAATGGTGTGTAATCAAAGGGGGATTGTTGGTAATAGGCGAAGAGATGACAGAAGAGAATTATGTATTTCCTTCACCTGAAATGCCACCAGCAAGGAATTAATTCCACTCATCAAATACATATGATCAAGTTTATTACCGAATACTGTTACCAAGGCGATGGGAACAGTCTTGCTCTGTTTGCAACTTGACCTTGAAAGGCAGTCTTCCACACGTTGTCATTTCCACTTGGGAAAGAAGCATTGCATGTTACCTATAAGGCTACCTAGCACCTATGAACAGCACTTCATGATTTTTAAAAAGTACTAGATATTCCTTCTCCTTATTTATAATAAGGCGCATGGGCCAGCCTCTTCCACTTCAAGTTTTGAAAGTAAAGGTGTGTATCCTTTGAAGTTTAGGACCACAAATGTCTTGTGCCAGAGAAATCTTGTTTCAGAAAATTTAAACCCCAGTCTGTGCCTGGCCGGTGTGGCTCAGTGGTTGAGCATCAGCCCTTGAACCAGGAGGTCACAGGTTTAATTCCCAGTCAGAGCACATGCGTGGGTTGCAGACTTGATGCCTCTGTAGGTGAGCGTTGAGGAGTAGCGTGGAGACCGCTGTCTCGCCCACATCAGCCTCCAAGGAGACCTTGGCCAGCGTCTGCCTGCAGCGCCTGACCTCCCATCCATAGAACTCCTCCCCTTGTGTAGGTTGCTTTCTCCCCAGAGATCTTTCAGAACCCCAGCCTTCCTGGTGGTGAAAAAAGTGGCAAACACACCTGTTCTATCGTATTGCTTCCCTTCCTGATAAGGAGATGCCTGGGGCAGCCCGCACTTGGCGGAACAGGCGAGGAGGAGGGAAAGAAAATGCCACTGAGCGTGCATTGAGCACTTCCGACATCCTCTAGCAATGTCCCCAAATCTCCCTGCTAATGAGGATGTTCTGTCTCTAAGCTGTTCAGCATGCTGGCCGCCAGCCACATGCGACTATTGATTCCTTGGAATATGGCTAGTATGACGGAAGAACTGACTTTAAAATGTTAATTTATTTAAATTTGATTTAAATCGCCATATATCGTTAGTGGCTACTGTATTGGGCAGCACATTTTTAGACACTATACTGAAAAGCACATCGATTTCTTATTTAATCTTTGCAACAACTCCTCCAAGCATGCGCCGTTAGCCTGTTGCACAAGCTCTGGGAACGAGTGTGCAGGAATTCAGTGATTTTTTTCATGTGTCACACGTATGTGAGGGGCAGAATGGGATTTGGGCCCGAGCTTAGCCACGTGCAGACGCTGCCTTTCTTCCAGCTGCCGAGGAGGAAGTAAAGGGGCACAAATTATGACATTAAAAAAGACACCCAGGATTTCTTTTTTTTTTTTTTTAACTTTCAAAACATTACTTTTATTTTTATTTTCTCTATTGATCTACTTAAAATCCAACTGCTAATAATTATTTTTAAAGACTCACTTTAATTCTTTTTCTGTTTGTTGCAGCTGTCTAGTTAGCATCCCATGCTCCTTTTTCTTGGCTTTCACTGTGTTTTCATGATGAGAAAGAGATTCTTTTGTGTCACTCAAATTCCTATTCACATTCTCTAACTCAGTGTTCAGCAAATGAATTTTTTTCTCATTATGGTATAGCTTGAAAAGCTGCAGTTGAATCTTATTTATTTTAAGTTCTTCAAGGAGAGTCTGGTAACGTTCTGCCTCATCTTTCTCTAATTTTGCATGTTTGCGCTCTGCAGCTATGTTTTTTCTTTTATTAAAATTAAACTGTGCATCCTCTTCAGCTTTCTGTAACTTTCTTTTCTTTTCCTCATATTCTCCTATAAGCTCTCCTGAAGTGCTGATTTCCTCAAAAAACTGGGTTCTTTCTTTGGGTTTTTTCATTGAAATCGACTCTACAGTTCCTTGAAAAACTAGACAGTTCCGTGCTTTGACTATTATACCTATCTTTTCCAACTCTGCTATATAAGTGGAACGACTCACAGGATTATCATCAAAACGAAATTCTGAGCATCCCCCTCGAATAATTCTTGTAAATGTTTTCTCTTCTCCATTCTCCTCCACATACACAATTTTTACACTTGCAAAAGAAGAAACAGGCTTTCCAATATGTGCTCCATGAATAAGTTCTTGAATATGTTTCACTCTTAAATTGGCTGTTTTCTCTCCCATGACAAAACTAAGTGCATCCATTACATTAGATTTTCCGGAGCCGTTGGGGCCGATGATGCAGGTGAACCTCCTGAAAGGGCCGATGACCTGGCGGCCTCGCCAGGACTTGAAGTTCTCCACGAGCAGCAGCTCCAAACGGCCCATGGCTGCGGCCTCCGCGCCTCCGCAGCGTCCTCACACGCGGGGCGGTAAAAGCGCGGGAAAGCCTTCGACACCCAGGATTTCATCTTGTTTGAAAGTATAGTCACTTAGGTAGTGAGGGGCATTACATAACTTGAGAGTTTTTTGTTATTGTTTTTGTTTTTTTAAAATCTTTAATGGTCTGTGCCCTTGGGCTTTGAGAAAAACAATCGGGTTAATTAGTCCGCTTCAAAAGAAATTTTTTTTCCCTTTTTTAAAAAAATAGTGAATGAGATTACTGGATGAATATAAATTAGCAATATAAACAAAATTCTTTTCAAAAAATTCTTTATTGTTGAAAGTATTACATGTGCCCTCCTTTCCCCCCATTGACCTCTCTCAGCCCGCCCCTGCCCCCCAGCCCAGGCCTTCACCCCCCTATTGTCCGTGTCCATTGGTTATCTTGATCTCATTGCTGGGTTTTCTTGTCTCGTGGCCTGGAACAGTCTGTTAGGCTCCTGGGTCTCTCTGCCTTGTGACAATCAGCTGTCATTACTGTAATGACAGTATCTATCTATCTATCATCTATCTATCTTAGGTATACTATATATATAAAGTGTCCCCTCAAAAAATGTATACACCTTTAACAGCTGATAGCTCAATTGATGTTTCTTTCTATCTATCTATCTATCTTAGGTATACTATATATATAAAGTGTTCCCTCAAAAAATGTATACACCTTTAACAGCTGATAGCTCAATTGATGTTTCTTTCTTTTCAGATTTAACCCATTGGAATAAATAATTATTCAAAGTGTGTATACGTTTTTTGGGGACACCCTGAATATCTGAGAGAGAGGGCTGAATAATAGAAATCTATTGCCTATATAATCCTGTCTTCAGGCGTAATAACAATGTAGAGAAAATCAACAATTTATGAACGGCCATAGAAGCAATTTTTAATTCCTCTCTCTTCATTCCTTAGTTATTTTTAATCAGTAAATGGAAGCAACAAATTGCTTTATCCCCGGGGTCCTCGGGGGAAGCAGCACATATTGTGCTGCTTTTAAACCCTAAATGTGGGGGTTAGAATCCAAGTGCTTGTCTCGAGAAACTGAAGAATGAAGTTGCGGACAAAAACGGTCAATTTCATGAAAGTTTATTGGGAGAAGCCAGTCCTGGAAAAGGTGTAGCTGAGGTTTCAGGAGCAGCCAGTGCCGGAGCTTCCTTCCAGGTGGAGCTCAGCATCCAGGCTAATGCAGGTCTGTGAGCGCAGGTGTGGAGGCTCCGTGGTCCGAAGCCGCCTGGGTGCAGGGATGTCTCTTCCCCAGGAACGCGGGTGGCGACAGCCTTGCTAGCTCTTGATTGGTCTTTTCAAAGAATTCTGCCTTAGCAACGTCCTTGGGATTGGTTTACAGGCCTTCCTGCCTTGGGATTGGTGATCTGCACGCTCCTGTCTTAGTATTTTAGAGTTCACACCTCTCACAGGTGTCCTTCCTTCCTCGCCCATTGGGGTGCCTTAGTAACCACCTCGTTGGGTTCCCCGATTTTATCCACCCCCATAGTCCCTGTCCCCGTCTCCTCACTTTGATCTCTGGAACCTTTCAGCTTCAGGACGGAAGGCCAGAAGGTCATTTTTAGGGGCGAGCAAACGCTCTTTGCAAGAGTGGGAGGGAGTTTCGGGGTGTTCTAAGGCTCACTGGCCCCCTCGGGGTTCTGCTGTGGTTACACGTCGTGACTAACACATGACTGATGGGTGGCTGCCTATCTTGCAGCCCTGGGTCCCCTCCTCCGACCCTGATTCTAGCGCTAACCCCCCACTCGGAAGTCTCGCCTCGCCTTTCATTCCGCCTTTCCCTTGCCATCTTAACTTGCAGGGTTTTGAAGTGAACAGTTTTCAGGCCTCTCTGCTTGAGCCAAGTTTCCGC